ATCTGCTACATTGATGATTCCGTCATATGTGACCTAATCTACTAGTACTTTCTCTGACACACTGTGTCTGATCTGTTTTTCTGTATGCGACACATTGTACCCAAAGATGTTTGTCTGATCTGCTGTCTCTGATCTAAAGATGCTGCATCCGACACATTGTGTTCTCGATATTGTATCTGACCGGACACATTGTTTCGAATGACGCCGCATTGGACACATTGTGTCTGATCCGATTCTTCAGTAGCTGAATGTGACACACTGTATCTTCTACACTGTTTGTGATCGGACACATGGCGTTAGTTCGAGGCCTGTGATAAAGCGAGCTTGATTACCGCGATCACGTTGACGAAGGTGGTTTTCCCCGAGTACTGCAGGCCGACCAGCGTCAGCTCCATCTCCTCCTTCCAGAAGAGCGCCTTGAACCAGTCCAGCAGCTTGTTGAACAGCGCGATCATGGTGCGGGTGCGGGTTCGAGCTCGGTCCGGTTCTGCTGCTCGCGGCTCGCTCTTCCTCATTGGGTGGGGCTTCACATCCACGCGCAGCTGATCCAAACAATGCGGGACTCGCGGCGCCACGCGCCCCCTGCTGGACGCTCGCCGGTGACGTCATCAGCCGTGACGCCCTTCCCGTCTTGAGTGACGTCAGATAGTATTGATAGGCCATGAATCTGGTGTCTCATTTTTCGAAAGCTTCTGGTCTGCAATTGAATGAACTTAAAATAGTAATTCAGCTTCACAGTCGTGCCGAATCTCAATTGTTCAATACTCCATTAAAAGATGAGATCAAATATTTAGGAATTGTTATCGCTAAAGACCCTAAAATCAGAGAAAAAAGTAACTTGACTGATAATATGGAAATAGTGGAAATATGTGGGTTCAACTCAAAAAGTCAGAATAGTTGAAATACAGTATGTGGGTTCAAAGGGATATGTCTATATTTGGCAGAATTCTCCAACAGAAGCACTTTCAGCTTGCTTCTCTGAGTATCTCTGATAATCAAATTCAGTGTACATTTATTTGGAAGAACAAGCAGCATTATATAAGAGAATCAGATGCTTGACGGCGTCTTTTCATAGTCAGGTATTATTATATTGGAAATGAATATACAAACACAGCTTTCCGCCACATAGCTGCTCTTTGTGGAATAATAAGAGCATCCTTATTTAGAAGAAACCTGTGTTTTTCAGGCCCGGATGGACAAAGGTGTCTGGTCCATTGTACACATTATGGATGCGGATGGCCAAATGTTCCTGGTTATGATGATTTTTGTGAAAAGTACAATATTATTGATATGTTTCTGTGTTGAAAGCTGTTCGGCTGATTAAAGGTGCATTGTGTTGCACACCCAGATGAGCTCATCTGATGGTCTCGGCTCTTACTTCTGCAGAGCAGAGCTGTAATAATGAGCTTTTAAGCACATCAGTAAACACACAGACGTGTCTAACCCTTTCCTGAAGATACAGTGGTTCGCATCAGAACACAGGATTTCTCTCAAAGAGGCAAAAGAAGTTGAGTTTAAAACGATTCAGGGTGTTTTGGGTTTGATTTGGATTGTGAGGCGTGCACCTCTCGTGAAGCAGACACAGAGAGCGTGTGTTTTGTTTATGCATATTCTCTAATAACTGATGGGATGACCTTAAGTGTGAAGTATGCAATACCTGACTTAGATTTTTGTCCCTCTGTCGCAATTGTGATGTTGAATTTTTGGTTAATAGCACTGTGATTTTGGCCAGTTGCTTCATTCATAAATGCAGATTCTTTAATAACTGTTTTTATGGTGATGCTTGTATTATTTTTGTATACTGTTTTTGATTTTTGAGCATTAATAATACATTAATAAATAAATCTATAAATGTAACCTAGCAGTAATACTAGTTTAGTGTTTGTATGATAAAATATATTCAATAATGTTTTTTATTAAGTGTTTTTGAAGCAGATAAGATAGCGTAATCTGTAAATATAATAAAACATAACATATATATAATATATGAGTAAAATAATTATTTGTCTACATAGTAAATCATCATATACAAACAGTTATTAACATTTATGAACAGCATGAAACCTGTGGTTATTTGTCTAGTAACTCCTGCAGTCTCTCTCTCTCACTCTCACACACACTCTCTCTCTCACTCACTCACTCACTCTCTCACACACACACTCACACTCGCTCTCTCACACACACACCCTCTCACACACACACACAAACACTCTCTCTCTCACACACAAACACTCTCTCACACACACACAAACACTCTCTCACACACACACAAACACT